TCCCCCTGCCGTGTGCTATTCTGATGACGTGCGTGCTGCTAGATGACTGGTGGCTTGAAAATGCCTCATCTACTGTCCTTTGGAGATGTGCTCAACTATTCCCCTGGTTTATATAACCTCAAAGCAATTTGCTTTCATGGCAGAACATGCCTATTCATTCTATTTTAACTGTGCATTGAGCTATAAATAATGTCTCCTTGCAGGTAAGAATCTATTGAATTTTTATTTTTTTTCCCAGCTTTGGAAGATTTTCTCTTGACTCCAGCTCCTGAAGCAGGCTTTCCCAGCCTTAGCAGTGAAGTTGCCAGATTAACTTTCTCCTGCCAGGCAGCCATGAACAGTGTAGATCCAAGGTTGGCTGCTACTTCCCTGCAGCCACATCCTCATTGTTGCTGCTTGGGCTGTGGTAAAGATGAAAAGGGCACTCAGTGATGCACAGCTGAAATCACTGAATGTCAGGAAAACTGATTAAACCAATGATTTCCTCTGACCAGCTGCAGAATAACATCACCCTCATTACCTTCAAACCATCCTCCCTGTAGTATGTTCACTTCAAAGAGCAAGAGCCTGGGCCATTGTCCAGCCAAATGTTCTGCAGTTTAGTGCCTCCTTTTTCTGCTGCTCATTCCAGCATTTTCCTGCTTTCATGTGGCTCTTGCCCTGTGCAATGGAGTCCTGGTCTGATGTCCTCATCATGCAGAAACAGAGCTGGAGCACAGCACGAGCTGGTGAGGCGAGAAGTGAAGGTATGTCCTCAGAGCTGATGGTGCTGAGACTCACATCTGGTCCAGGTTGCAGCACAGCAGTGAAGTGGCTGCTGTTTTGGCAGCTGTTTTTCTGTGGTGCAGATAACTCTGCTGTTGGTTCGAATGCTGATGCTCCTCTGGGGAAGTGTTGTGATGGCACGGGGACTGGGCTGTTGCAGAAATGGAGAGACTTTGAAATCACTGATAGCTAATAACGTTCTCAAACTCAAATAGTTCAGTATGTGGGGATTTTTTAACAATGATTACAATCTACTCTTTTTGTTGTACATGTTACTGGTCATTCCCCCATAAAAATGTGCTAGGAGCTCTTTGTACTGCTTACCTGTGGCCCTTTAGAAAAGGTTGCAGGAAAACACTGAGGCTGCTCTCCTGGGTCATGGAGAAGTATTATGTTCCTTCATTAATAAAAACTATCCATAGGAGAGAACATTATGTAAGTACCACATATGTAAAATAATTCAGGTTGGAAGAGCTCTCTAGAGGTCTCTAGCCCAACCCCTGCTCAAAGCAAGGCCAAAGTCAGTGTCAGCTCAGGGTGCTCAAGGCCTTCCTTGTTCAGCTGGGTTTTCAGTATCACCGAGGAAGGATATGCGTGGCCTCTCTGGTTTCTGTGTCACTGCTTGATCACCCTCGTGGCAAAGAATAACTCCTCATATTCAGTCAGAATTTAATCCTTTCACTGTGTAGCTCTGAGAAGGCTCTGTCTTCTCTATAACCCCATCAGGGAGCTGCTGGTAGCAATGTGATCTCCCATAGCCATCTCTTCCCCAGGATGAAGAAGCCCAGCTCCTTCAGCTTACCCCAAATGCCCTGTGCTCCAGCCTCTGACCAGCCTGGTGGCCTCTGTTGAATTCGTTCCCATGTGTCACATCTGTACTTGTAGTGAGGCCAAGTACACTTAATTAATTACATAAGTTATGTGAAACTATGTTAGTTTTCACTTGCAGGGTTCAAAGTTCTGCACATGGTCTTATGAGTTCAGGAAAACATTCACCAGCATTATCTGAATCAAGCTCTATTATCAGTTCATAAATACATGGGTATGTTTTCATATTGATATGTTTTAAGCATATCAGTGACTTTGCTTTATTGCTTAGTTCGAAAGTGCCTTTGGGCACTAGGTGGGAGGCAGATCTTCCACTTGTTCTCCATCGGTTTCTCCAGGCACACGGCTCAGTACAAATAGTTATTGGCCACACTGTGGTGAAGAGAAAGACAAAGATGGAAAGTGCAGTCTGAATTGTATTTAGCAGGCATTTTGGAGTGATTAGAGGTAATTTCATGAAACAGCTACAATTAATTATTGTTATTTCCTACTTTTACCACAGCTATTTGTTAATTAAATAATGCGACAAAATCCAGGAATGTTTGGAAAAATGTAACAAATAACTTGTCATTAATTTACCAGTGTATTACACTGAGAAGTCGTGTGTCAGCTAAGAAAATTTCCCATCATCAGTTTTGATTCTTCCAGAGAATATGAAATCAATAGTGGTAAAAACTGTAACGGAAAATGTGAAACAAGAAAAATCCCTGGGTAAGTGAGAGAGGATGTTGTATAATGGCCAAATCCTGCCCTGATGGCAGCCCGCGGATCCTCTGGTGCTCAGGACTATAACATGTGGTACCCTGAGACGTGGCACTGCTTCTGCTTACTTGCAGACCTCTGCCTTCGTGCTGGCTTCTGCACACACGAGGATTTTACTTTAGCCAAATGGTCATTAGCCGTATGCTGCATCTGACTTTGAGGATTAGAAGACCATAATGAAGTGGATTACAGCACGAGATCAGTGGCAGGATTGCAGACCAAATCCTCTTTCTAACTGTTCTTCCAAGAGTAGCTAAGAACTGAGAAACCTGTCCTACAGCATGAGCTTAGCCAGCTGTGGGATTTTTCCATGCTGTTATCAGAGGCAGGATAATGGAGCTGTAACCCTGGGTGGAGAGGCTGTGGATGTTGGCTGGCTGGAGGCTGTGCATGAGTCTGAAACCTGGTGATTTCTGGGTGCCATTTTTGTGGCTTGCCTGGAGGGGTTACCCCAGTGGCTCAGGGGAGACTGGTGTTCCCCAGCCAACACTAATTGTCTTGATTCACTTGATTCTCCCTAGAGTGTTCGTCAGGTGAGAGAGTGAAGGAATGGATCCACTGAACATCAGATGGGCGTTGTGGGAGTCGGAGGAAATCTGGGTTGCTCAGGGCCAGTAAGTCCCGGACCCAGTGCTGAACCTGGCAGTTGCAGTGGAATATTTTTCTCTGGTGTATACAGGTGACACACAGCAGCCTTTGGCAGGAAGGTGTTCGCCACCTGTCAGGAGAGAAGTCAGTCCTGCCTAGAGGACGGCGCTGTTTGGGGCAGGGAGCAGCCTGGAGCAGCAGCATATGGACACCGGCCAGGGGGCAACCCATCAAAAGCTGTTGGGTCGGGGCTGCGAGGGCTGGTGAGGATGATTAGCAGAGGTGTCACTGCCTGGCTGGAGAAGGCAGTGGCAAAGTTCACATTTGACCCAGAAAGATCTACCTCCCTCCAACTGTGCAGAGACTGTACGGGTGAACTGATGAAGGCAACAAGTGTGGCAGGTGAAAGCAGCCTCCGTGTGCTCCTGTACACACTCAGGGAAAAGGGTTTGGCTTCCAGAGACGCCATCCACAAGGCGCATTAGGGCAATACATCTTGAAGATGTGCCAAATCCATCTAAAATATTCATGCATGCTCCCTGTAATTTATAGAAACAAACCCAGCAGCATAATTATTTTAATGCTTCTCCCTGTGAAGAAACCCATCTCTCTTAGGTAAAAATGTAACCTGTATACCCACACAGCCGTGTCGCAGCCTTCATAACAAACCAGTGCCCAGGACAGGTGATTCCATGCACTACACAATTCATACTTTTAAGGATCAAAGTATACCCTTTAGATCACTGTGATGTATCAGACACCAACTCAATTGCTTGGGCTAAAGTTCAGTGATTTCAGCTGAATTTCATTTGATTAATGGATGGTGTCTTGTTTGTTCAAAGGAGTGCCTGTAAAGCACTTTCTGCTCTGCAGCTCCCATGGTGCTGAAGTCTATCCTAAGCACAATATTTAGCTTCCATGACCAAAAAAACCCAGGTATGCTTGCCATTTAGGACCTGTGAAAGGGATCATGGTGAGAAACTTAGGTCAAAGGCAGAACCCACTCCTGCAAAATTACACCTATTAAAACAGCAGAAGTTGAGACCTCCTCCTGGGAAGGAGAGATTTGGAGATGGCACAAAGGCTGGAGGTGCGAGACAGACAGGAAAATTGGGACAGGATCTATGTTTTAAGTATCATTTTCTAAAATATCTGTAGGGGAAAGGACCTACTGTACTTTCAAGTGTAGTTGGTGCTATGTAAATAGGTTCCCAAACCTTCAGTGTCTTTTGTTCTTAAGATGGCTTGGCGGAACACTTTGAATTGGTCGGTGTGTTTAACTGTGACTAGGTCTGTGAATAAATGCTCCCTGCTGTCAAGGTTCAAGTGACATTTTCAGTGGCATATGACAGAATTTAACCTGCTTTCAAGCCTTCTACTGAGCTCTTCTATAGCCAGGCAGTGAAACTGTCAAGAAGCCCTTTCTTTTATCAAACCAGTGCTAAATGCCATTAGCTTCACAGGTTAGACACAGTCCTGCCAGACTCATCTGGCAAAGCTTAACCAGATCTGCTGATGGCAAAGCCACACCTGACCTGTGTTCATACCTAGTGGTGAATATCTGGGAATGTTGGGGGGGGGAAAAGACCCGAAAGCAGAGACTCTTAGCCTGGTCTGCAAACAGGGTAGTACTGCATGATATGCCTAAGCTGCTCCCTAATGGGAGATGCTGCTCTGCAGAGACAAATGAAAGACCTGCTGTTTACTCCTTTCAGTATTTTGTGCTCCCTACATTTCTACTAGAATCCTAAAGAGGTTTATTTTGTCTAAAAGGCTGTTTGTTTGGTTTTGACCATTGAGAACATGTGATGCTTGTCTCAAGCTATTAACCAGATGTTCGGCCAAAATCAATTGCCTAGCAGATGCAGACCATTACCTGAAAGTCAAGACCTCAATAAATATTACCAGCCTCATTGTACTGGTGACAGATTCTGCTCGTTGTTTTATGTTACAGTTGAACAGTTTAGACATTGCATTTCTATATATTTGCAGTCAGCCTTGGAGAGACCATCTCATGAGCAGAGCAGGAGCAGGTAGCCTGCAGACTCAAGAAATACTTCCACCATGACCATGACAGGTGTTTTTGTGCTCCTATCCTTTGCGATTTGCTGCTTCCCAGGTGAGTAACTCTCAAAGTGCTGCAAAGGCTTCATGTCTGAGTCCTGGCTGTCTTTGAAAGGATAAGATAGTGGGTTCAAAGAGAGATAATCTTCTCCTACAAAGAGCTAGGCTGCCTTGGTACGTTGGCATCGTGTAGGATGCAGGAGCAGATTTCAGGACACTCTTAAGTGGATCACTGTTGTGGCTGGTTGTTTGTCATAAATACAAACAACTGCAAGCGGAGTTCTGTGCTGGTAAGTAGTGCTGTTACACTTTTTAAACTGTTGTTTTAACACCATTACACTGCTTACACTTGGTGTTGTACAACTACGGCAAATGGATAAATACTTGAAATAAGGCTGTAATGAGGTGGTCAGACCTCTAGTAACTAGTCATGAAAATGTCGTAATGGCACGAGCAAGCTCTTTCCAGGAGCCTGGCAACTTTCCTACAATACTTTTGCTGCTAATGGAGAAACAAGAGATGAAAACAAGCTGGAGTCTGATGTTCTCACTGCATATTTGCATCTGACAAAATTACAAAGTTAAAGACATTTTTTTTTCACACTCAGCTTCTTTAAAATGCATATTCCTGACAACAGGAATGTCTGCTTGCTGTATGTATTTGCTTATCCTGTAGGTCACTACTAACATTTGTCTGTATTGACTCATGTTTCTTTTCAGATACCTAACAGCCGCTCTTAAGGGTTAAAACGGATATGTAAAAAGATAAGGAAGGAAAACTATTCTATTTTCAATTAATAAGTCTACCTATCTCAAAATAAAGAAAAGCACAAAGCTATTCAAAACCATGTTTCATCACAGCCAGCAATAAACAATGTTGTTATACTTATCAATGTAGAAAAAAAAATCATACATAGTTTATTTAGTTCAGGAAACCAATCGCTGGAAATCATTCAGTTTGATCCTGCATATACAGGAATTTTACATTCAGATTTCCAGCTTTAACTGAGGTCTTATCATATTGGCTTTGTTTCACATTTTCTGCCTCTCTCTTCTTTTCCAGACGCTGCCTTTGGGGTTGAGGTGAGTAGAAGGTTTCTGTCACTTTTCTCAGGTATGTGGACTGCTAAAGACATAACCAAAGGAATGGGAAAAACCTCGGGCCTGTAGATGTTTAGCTGTTTTTCACATAGCGTGAAATCAGCGTCATTGCAATCAGATTCTACAGTGTAAAACATTAAATTATACTGTTCTTGGCCCTACATCTATGCTGTATGTTAATAATGCAGTAGTGGTAATGATACAAAATTTTTTGACTAATTCATTTTTCACCAACTTTAAACTGGTCTAAATTTTAAGCTGGTTGTATATGACTGGCTTTCAACTGAGAGCAACAGACTGTGGTATCAGAACCGAAGGCAACCTACTGAAAGAATAAACCAGCTTGAGGCACTCCAGCTTCCACACACATTAGTCTTGCTCCTCTGAAAAAAAACATGATCAGTGTCTTGAGAATGGAAGAGTAATAACAGAAGTGCACCAGAAGGGCCGCAGGAATATAAGAACAAGGGACCAATGGATAGCATTTGTAAAATGATGTCGAGTGAGTGTGAGAGGCCACCACTGATTTACCCTGTCTGGGGGGCTGCATGGCTATAGCCCTTTCCTCCTCCTCTCCTGCTGTGTCTCTGCAGGAAGGACTGTCCTGTTACCAGATTGACCCACCAGCACAAGTTTGTCCTGTGGTAGTGAAAAACCCACTGTAGTTTGTATCTGGTCACCGTCTCATGCAAAATGAGAGTTGTGAATGCAAAATGTCTTCTCCACCCTGTTGTTGTACGCTCCGTTGGCAGGTGGACTGCAGTACGTATCCCAACACTACAAACGAGGAAGGCAAAGAGGTGTTGGTCTGCACCAAGATCCTCAGCCCCATCTGCGGTACCGATGGAGTCACCTACAGCAACGAGTGCCTGCTCTGTGCCTACAACATGTACGTACTGCATAGGAGATCTCGGACAGCAATGCTTAGGAGTCCTGGCAGCACCACTTTTCAACAAACAGCAGTCTGTCATATGTCACTTGTATCAGTTCCTTCAAAATGAGCTTGGATATCACTGCGTAGCACTCGGTTGCCTAGACATCGCTTTAGTGTCTCTCTTTTGTTGGTGTAATTTATTCAGGTTTTTCTTCTCCAGCTCAAGGATCAGCCAGATGACAGCCCCTAGGGCACATCTCATCACAGAAAAGCAGAGCTAAAGGATGGAGAGATGCTCTGCTCTGAACTGCCCCAAATGGTCCTAAAGCTCTCAGGGTCTTTACATCCCCGCCAGCCACTCAGTGCTAGCTGATCAGGGAGGATAGCACTACCTTCTCAAAAATACCTATATAAGCCTGATTGATGAAGAGTCGCTTTTCCCTTGTATTAGTTACATATTCTCAGCACCTAGGATGTAGCAAGATGTTTTTCCTGAACTTCCTAACATTTGTCTTTCTCTCTCCAGAGAATATGGAACCAATGTCAGCAAAGACCACGACGGAGAATGCAAGGAAGTTGTCCCTGTAAGTGAAACCAAGGGCAAAACAAGGGGCATGTCCTGCTTCTGAGTGGCCAAAGCTGCTTATTAACTCCCCTAAGAAATAATTCAAACACTCATCAAGAGGACAAATGAGATGTTGAATTTTGCATTGGTCATCTTCAAGTGAACTGTCATTGTGGTGACACACAAAAGAGCATTTTTCCTGCTGTGGTGGTACCCTAGGTGGCCAAACAGACACACTCACCAGATCTGCTTGCTTCCTGCAAGTAAGCCTTCACCAGTGCTTTGTTGTGTGTTCCCTCAACAGGTGGACTGCAGTAAATATCCCAACACAACAAACGAGGAAGGCAAAGTGGTGTTGCTCTGCAGCAAAGACCTCAGCCCCGTCTGCGGTACGGATGGGGTCACCTATGACAACGAGTGCCTGCTGTGTGCCCGTAACCTGTGAGTACTGTGTGTGCAGAGCTCTCCTGTGAGGGACAACGAGTGCTTAGCACTCCTGGCAGCTGTTCTTCTGAATATCAGGGCTTCTACAATGGCCTTTTCTGTAAGGCAATTGGA